CCGTCTGGTGGTTGGTTTGTATCATTAGCCGCTTGGATTGGGGCGAGAATGATGAGACCTGCAGATGAGAGGGGGCATGACGACGTAGCCACGGACGTAGCCTGCCTCGCTGGCTTCGCTGATCATCGCATCGCTCTCTCGATGGACGTAAGTGGTTGGGATGGCGCGGATGTCGCTGCAGTCTAGGTCTTCATATCTGGACACAGCGGGTTAGAGCACTCTCCAGAACCGGATTTCATGGACGCAGACGACATTTTCTCGCTAGCAAAAGCGCCGTAGGCATCGTCTGTCAAGGCGCCGGTTCCTGAGCTCTACCAGATGCAATCAAGTCCGGGAAAGGGAAATTGGGAAATTCGAGGACGAACGTGGATCAGGACGCTCTGGATCCCCGTCCTCTCATATCGAGCTCGGAGACCGTCCAAAATGGCGCGGCATCCCGTGGGGTGATCGGCATGAGCCGTGTGAATGACCACTAACGGCAAGTCACTCAGAATCAGCGGCACAGAAAGCAACCGGGCACGGACCATCTGCGTTCTCAGCGGCGCTTCTAATCAGATTGAGCTCCGCGAGATCGGCAACTACGACTCTCAGGCGGAGCTCCCGGCGAATAACCTCTGCCCGGTCCTCGTCGCGGACGAGGCAGGTGATCTCGACCAGCCCGGCCTTGTAGTCCTCTCTGAGTAGAAACGTACGCAGGAGCGTGCCCCCGATGTAGCCTGTCACGCCGGTAATCAGCTAGGAAAAGCTCAGTGACTGCGTCCAGCCAGATGTGGTGCCACGACCGACCACTTTCAGAGGATAGGAAGGAAGCCCCATGGCGTGAAATTGGAGAACGGAGGGACGGCTGTAAACTTAAATAGCGTTTGAGTGCCGAGTGGAGAAATGGAGAAGCAGTGGGCATCGGGATCAGGCTGTCAGCTCGCAACTGGGAGCACCGACTCCGATAACTGCACAAAGACAGAGGCCGGGGCACAAAGAGGCGATTCAACTAGGCTAGACTTGGCGGTCATTATTTCTTTGAGATGAAAGTGGTCCTGATCTAGAAGAGCTGCGCATGAATGCCTTTTCGCCCAGCATGAGGGCCGGTCTGAGAACGGTTATACTTGGGCATGGGAGACCTCTTCGCCATGCGGAGAAGCCCTTTGCTGACGATGTTCGTGAGAATGCTGGAAAGTCATGCGCCATCATCGAGTATTGTCTGTCTGACATCCTGAGACTTGTTCGCAGCAAACATTAGAGAACCTGTGATGCACGGGAGTCAAGTAGCACAGGAGCAGTGCGTGACAGTGATGCCACGGACTCACTGTTTGCCTCTCCAGGAAAATGTAGACGGGGAAACTCCAGAAGGCATGGAGGGTGTTGGCGGCTCAGAGCAGCGTATTGTCGGCATGTACCGCCATCCATCAATGTCTTGGGAGCTTGCCAGTGGCAGTGTCTTTGGGCGCATCATGCAGCGTCCTTTTGACTCCAATCTTGCCTTTCGCAAGTCACCCTGACTCGAGCAACCATCCATCTCTTAGGAGGCTCACGTCCCAGTAACAGCTTGTCACGCCGCAGTCGATCGGTATAATACGGTAAGCCTCGTTGGCTCGCTCCTTCACTCATCAACCTTCCTTACCCACCCCTTGTTTGCCACTCAATGTCACCCGGTCGCGCGCTCGCACGAGCTATGGGCCGCGTGCAATCGCAGTCCGGGCGCTCATGGAATCAGTTCATCCGCGCCATCCTGCTCGTCTTCAAGCGCCTGCTCGAGAACCCGCAGGTCTCTGAGCTGCTGAGATTCATGTTCCTGGGGACCATCGTCGAGACGTGCGTGCACGGCTTCACGTCACCCTGCACCGCCCATCTCACTGATTGCTATCCGAAACCTAACAGGAGTCGAGTCATCGGCGCTAAGATGGTTTCCACGGTCAACAGCTGTGCGTGCGCGACGGCGATGCATACCTGCCTCCAGCGTGACTGACCGTTTGTCCTCGCAGTCTTCCTCGTCAAAGCGTCCTTCAAGCAGGGGGAGCTCAGCTACGAATGGGTGCGTCCGTCCGTCCAGCGCCGGCCCTTGACACGTGTTGACCACGCGCGGTTTGATCTCGCCAGGTCACGGCGTACCTCAACCACCACAAGGTGTGGAACCGGTCCCGCACGTTCCGCGTGAACGCGCGCAACGCCAAGGTCGTGGCGAACAGCGAATTCGCGCTCGCGACCGGCGACGGGTACCCCGACATCGTGTATGAGCCGGACAACAGCGAGCCGGAACTGTTCTTCTGGCGCCGCCGGCACTGGATCACGATCAACAAGATCGAGAACGAGGGCGCGTCGAGTCTGACGCTCCAGGTGTGGAGTCGGAATCGGAAGGTCCTCGACGAGTTCGTGCAGGAGGCGCGCGCATTCTACAAGACGTCGCCGGTGCCGCCGCCGCGGCAGGACTACGACTGGGTGCGTGGCAGGCGTCGTCTGTGGAGTTACTGCGTCAGCTGACAGGCCGTATCGACGCTTACAGTCGCAGTCGCTCATCATCGCACACTTCAACCAGGCTGATTTCAGCTTCGACTGGGTGCTCGACTACCTGCAGTCGTCGAACGTGATGGCCGACGCAAACGAGTTCACCGTCTCGACGAAACAAAACGACGCCGGCTGGAACCGGGAGGATCCGAAGAGCCTGGTCCGTTTCGTCCCGTCGTCGAACACGAAGCAGCGGCTCCGCTGGCGGGGCATCTGGATCCAGTGCGAGTTCGTCATCGGGTACGAGGACGGCAACGGGCGCACCTCCGGCGGGTCGATCAACCTAATGATCCACTCGTCCGATCGCGACGTTCTCAAGCAGTTTGTCGAGGCTGCGAAGGAGCATTACACCCAGGCGTCGATCTCCAGGGTCACTGTCCATCTGACGGACAATTACGGCTCCTGGGCGCGCGCGGTCACGAAAAATCGCAGGGGCTTCGCGACGCTCATTTTACCGGATGGGATCAAGGAGATGTTGCTGAAAGACGCGAAGGAGTTTCTCGCGAGCGAGGAGTGGTATACGTTTGCCGGCGTCCCACACCGGAGGGGGTATCTGCTCTATGGGGTGAATTTGCAGTATCTTGCTGTGGTTTTCATTTGCTGACGCGGAGCAGGAACCCGGCACCGGTAAAAGTTCAACCATTCACGCTCTTGCTGGTGAACTCGGGTTGGAAATCTACTTTATCTCGTTGGCTTCACCGGGGTGAGCTGTCGTTTTGAAAAAATCGGCTGTTCTTCTGGGTTCTAACATTTTTGCGACAGTATCGACGACTATTCGTTGGGACGTCTGATTCGAGATACCCCTTCGCGTTGCATTCTGCTCCTCGAGTATGACTGTTCCCGATTTTTTTTTTCAGGCAGTTCTCATCCTCTTATGCAGAGATATCGATTGCGCGTTCCCCTCGCGTGATGAGGACGACGACGACGACCCTTTGCTTGACTCGAAGGGCAATCCCGTGCCGCGAGAGCCGATACCCCCGCGGTCGCAAGTCACTCTTTCTGGACTGCTCAACGTTTTGGACTCGGTCGCGAGCGAAGAAGGGCGACTCGCATTTGCAACAGTGCGTATCTTATCATCCACCGACCATCCGCAGGTGTTGACACCGTCTTGTTTCGCAGACCAACCACATCGAGCAACTCGACCCGGCACTGATCCGGCCGGGCCGCATGGACGTGCGCGTCCAATACGGGCTCGCGACGAGCGCCCAGATCGAACAGATGTTCGAGCGCTTCTTCCCGTACGACGAGGAGATCATACCCACGGACGACTTCGAGCCGCGTATCGGGTGCTATTTCGACCAAAAGACCGGCGAGCGTCTTTCGGCGTCAACACTGTCGGCGTGGGCGAAGGAGTTCGCGGGCCAGATCCCCGCGGCGCGGTTCTCCATCGCGCAGCTGCAGGGCTACCTGCTGAACGCGAAGCACGATCCGCGGGCGGCAGTGGACGGCCTCCAGGCCTGGATGGAGGAGCAGGAGCGACAGAAGAAGGAGCTCGAGGCCTTGAAGAAGAAAAAGCGGCGGGAGGCGGCGGCTAGACTTGAGGCGGAACGGTTGCTGGAGGAGAGGGAGGCTGCGGCTGGGAATGCCAGCCAGTCTGCTCCGGAGGAGGAGCCCGTCGAGGTGCAGGCCGAGTAGATCAGTGGGTTTGATTCGGTGTGAGATAGAGCATGATGTATGTATCAATGGCCCCATAATATACTGGCCAGCAGTCCATTAGAGACACTCCGGAATTGTTCACGAGTCAACTTCTCGCAGCTCGCTCAAACGATCAGAGTCTCTGGAGATTTTCAGCTGGCTGAGAGAACCGTGAATGACCAGCTCCAACCGTGTGCCGCCTTGTGTCTGATTTGCGCTTGATTGCCGGCGGTATTAGAAAAGGCAACAAAGCTACTGTATACACCGCGTCGCGTTCTTGGCTCCGCGAATGGAAGCGGCGCGCAACATCGTTTGATTTGGGCTCTGATAGTCATTGCATATGAGTTCTGGAGGATTTCAAACCGCACGCAGACGGATGGGATCATTTCGGGATCAAAGAGAGGACGAACAAGGCGAATCAATAGTTGGACAAATGGACGGTCGGTCAAATGCTTTGTGAGAGTCGCACGTGCTTTCAAGTGAGCAAGAAATACGCGAAAATCGACGTCATCGGCGCACTGCAAGTTCCTCGAGGATCCCTGTCGTGGTATGACCAATATTTCACTACTGGTTGACTTTGAGAACAACAGTCATCTGTAAGCAATCGAAGGAAACTTGGAAATGATGCGCCTCGCCCGCCGGTAGCATGACTCCTAATCAGCGCTAAAACGGCAAATGCGTCATACAGTATGACACACTCGGAACCTCACCCACATCACTTCAATATCATCTCAACAGCGCGATGGCGTATGCGCGGCAGGCTGCTCTCATTGCTGACAATCCATCCAGAATTCAATGCATATAAATCAGAGAAGCAATGCTGACGACCTACTTATCGAACTCCCCACATCACATCGCCAATCCCCATGCCTGCTCTCCAAGAGACCAAATCCGCCAACGCAGCCCTCGTCCCGACGTCCTACACGCCCGTACTGATTGTGGTCGGCGGCACCTCAGCCATCGGTGCGGAAGTCGCCAAGGCGTTCGCGCGCCACACGCAGGGCAAGGCGCACATCATCATCGTCGGCCGCAGCGAGCGCTCCGCGCGCGCGGTCCTCGACGCGTTCCCGAAGCCAATCTCGGTACCGAGTTCTCGCACGAGTTCCTCCTTGCCGACGTGACGCTCATGAGCGAGGTGCGCGCGCTCGTAAAGAAGATCAAGGAAAAGCTGCAGGCGCTCCGGGCGGCGGGAGGATCAACTATCTGTTCCTGAGCGCGTCGTCGCCGGTGTCGAATTCACTGATGGAGGCAGCGGTGACGAAAGAGGGACTGAGCGAGCATCTGGCGTCCAAGTGCGTGGTCGTCCGCGGTCTCCCGAGGTGCTTCTCCTGCTGATCGTTGCGCCGCAGATTCTTTGCGCGATACCTCATCGCTCGCGAGCTGCTCCCGCTGCTTGCGAAAGCGCACGAGCTGGACCAGGTGACGAGCCTGATGACCGTCCTCGCCGCAGGAAACGCAGTGCCGCTCCCGACGACGGACCTTGATCTCGCGGAGTCGCGGAAGGCAGGGAGGACGTGGCTGGATGGCGCATTCCCGGTGCGTGCTCGGTCACTTACAAGCCATATTTACGGATCGCTTATCTCCATCCATTGCAGCGTCTCGAAGCGTTCAAAGGCATGCAATACGGTGGAGCGTACAACGATGCGCTCGTAGCGGTGAGTCGTGTCTGCCCCTCGCGGCTGCACTTCACGTCCGAGGCTGATTCCGCTCACAGTACTTCCACGCAACGAATCCTTGGCTCAGCTGCACGTACACGTACCCGGGCCAGGTCCTGCCTCGGGAAAGCCGGGATTCACGTTTGGATACCTGATGCTCCCCCTCACGGGGCTTGTGCGGGTTCTCCGGTACTGGACACAAATCTCCCTCGAGGACTGCGGAGAGTACCAGCTCCACGCGCTGCTTGCTCCGGGAAAGAATGGCGGCGTTTTTCTGCGCGGAAAGCATGCGGATCTGATATCCAGTGTCGCTTTGGATAAGGAGGTGGTGTTGAGCGAGTCGGGTGATGATTCTATCGTGAGCGGGTTTGTTATTCCCCGCTCGCTGTCCGTGACTAGGGTTCTACAGGGTTGTCTTGGCTGGTCATGCTGTGGCTGGATACGGCGGATCCGACGCGAGGGTGGCGAAGCTGATACACTGGACGGATGGCGTCCCGAGAAACTAACAAATGGAATTAAACCCCTAGTTGTAATCTGTAATGTGCTTTGCGACCGTGTAGATG